CCAGATAACGCGGCCACCCTGCCCGCGGGCCCGAGAAGCTCCAAGGCTGGCAGAGAACGCGCCCCAGCCCCGGGCGACCGCGGGCCCCGTCCCCCAGCCTCGCAGCCATGGGGTCCTCCACCCTCCTCCCACCAGAGTGCTGTCGAAGGACCGGGTTCCTCAGCCCAGGCGCCCCCGAGGGCACCCCCAGCCACGGGCCGCGCCGCCAGTGCCAAAGCGCCCGGTCAGCGCGGAAGGAAGTGATATTTATTGTTCTCCGCGAGACCGTGTCGCCTTACCCCTGCCCCCACCCCACTCAGACCCCCGGGCCGGCCGGCAGTTGCAGTGTAGACGACTTGAGAGCCTCGTCTGCAGGCGGTGTAGATAATTGTAGATATTTGTAGATACTGTAGATACCGCGCCGGCGCTGACATGATAAACGGTTTCGCCTCTTTTGGAAGCTGCCTGAGTGTCCATTTATTTGCGAGCAGTTAGATTGCACAGGGGATCTCGGGGAGAGCCAGGCCGGTCAACTCGGGGTCTTAAAGGTCTGCCCAGCCCCAATCCCTGCGGGCTGCAGATCGCGGTCTGGACGGAGGTGGGGGCGTACCGTAGTGCCCCCGGACCCCCCTTCCAGAGCCTCCTCCTGGCCACACCTCTCAGTCCTCTCCCTTGGCGGCTTCTCCCTTGGCTTGCCTGTCTCGGTTTCTTCCCAGCACCCGCTCCGCTCCGCTCCGGTCCCTTCCCGGCCCTGCTCGCGCATCCACCACCCTGCTTCCACCTAGTGGCTTCATCCGAATCTCTCCCAGGTTGTGGGTACCAGGGCTCTGCCCAGCCCCAGGTGTGCATCCGGCCTATTATAAATTCTCGTCCCTCTTCTAGAACTTGGGCCTGGCCCGGGCCTCTTTTCAGGAACGATGCTGGTCCTCCATGCTTTTCCGCAAAGCTAGGAGTGACAGGACAGTACATTGTCAGTTGGGACTGGAAAGGGAGAAGCCCTGACTGATTAAGGAAAGACAAAACAGGCATTTCTGCTCTCAGTCTAGCATTTCCCCTGGCTGGCCCTAGCCTTGGCCTGCGTTTTCCCCTGTTTATTGACTCTATTCACTGTGAGTGTCCCCATGGAGTGACCTGGACAGGGGGCACAATGACAGTGGTAATGAGTCATCTTGAAACCTGTCTGTGAAGCATTTTTCCCAGGCCAGGTGGGGAGGGACCTCTCCCCAATAACTCAACACCAGGGATGGGGGCCAGAGGAACCCTTTGATCCCTTCCTTCCTGAGTCCAGGCAGGAAAAGCTGACAGCCGGTCAACGTCAAGGCTGCTAACTTGGACACAAATGAACGGGAAATGCAAGTGGCTGAGGTTCTGTCCCCCTTCCGTGCCTCTCCCAGTGTGTCTGTGGCAATGGCAGCCTGGTCCCACCTCTGCGAGGGCACTGCCAGGCACTTCCTGATGTCTGCCCTGGACTGGATGCTTTTTCTTCCCTCCCAGATGTTTTTGCCCTGGGGGTATGAAGTGACTGAGGTCTTTGAATTGCATGGCAGAAAGTGGTTACATGAGGTAGGTCTACGAAGGGAGTGAGTGACAAAGGCTGTTGAGGGGTGAACTCTGGAGCCAGACTCCCCCCCCAACCCCCCGCAAAAAAAGACCTCCAAGGGCATCTACTACCAGGTGTGAAGACTCTTGCAGCGTCTGCCCAAGTGGCCAGAAGGCTCTGTGGACACAGCTTCAGGGATGCATTCCTAAGGGCAGCTCTGGACACCTATCCCTGATGGACACCTGTCCACTCCCCACTGCAGATGTCCCTCTAGGTGAGCTGCCTGCGCCAGTGGGCTCCCCACTGGGGGCTGCCTATTTCACATTTGCACTACAAATGTACCTGCACCCTTCCTTTACTGGAAGGCCTGCAGGAATGATGGGCTGTGGTTGGCCCTGCAGAGCCAGTGTCCCCTGTGAATGCTGGGCACCCCTCTGGGGCTCACTGTGATTCTCAGGCCTCCCTCTCCCTCCCCATACTTTCCACACCCAGGCCATGGGGTCGGGACGGGGGGGTGAGAACCACAGTTGGAGAGATCTCCATTTTGCTTTTTTTCAAAGCTGAATTGAAGAGAAGCGCCTCTCTGAATTAATGATGGTGCTGGTGTTTGCAGATGAGAGGACGCAGCCAGCACACGGATCTTTAGTGTGCAGCTTGCCAGTCTTGTGCATATGACCGCCTCCCACAACCATCACCCATTCAAGATGAAGAGCCATGCTGCTGTCCAACATGGTGGCCCCTAGCCACAAGGGGTTGCTTACATTTTAATGAACAAATATAGAATGAAATTAAACATTAGATTCCTCCCTGGCTGCATTCTGAGTGCTGGATACTGCAGATGAGGGCTCACCCTGCAGGGGGTAATAACCCCCAAAGGCATAGTTTTCTCCCCTCTGCCCCATAGATGAGTCTGCCTGGATAAGAACTTCTCATAAATGGGGTCGTGCAGCAGGGGGCCTGGCCTGGCTGCTTCTGCTCCACACTGTTTTGTGAGGCTGGTCCACGCTGCCACTCACTCAGCAGTTCTTATTGTTAACCAGCATCCGGTCTTCTGTCAAGGGCACCTGGTTGTTCTAGGATGGATGCTGTGATGCTCAGCACTGAGGGTAGGGCTGCCTCCTCCAGGTAGTCCTGCTGTGCGGGCCATGCATCACCTCAGTAGGCTGCCGTCACCCTGCCTTGCATCCTGGGGTAGGGGAGGTGAGGAAAGGGTTGGTTTGGGTTACCAGTTTTTGCATTTTAGAAAGTCGCTAGGGCCATCTCTTGGTCACTCATTCCTGAAACGAGTGCTTGGTGAGCACCCCCAGTTGCAGGAGCTGTCTGGCTGCTACCGAGTCAGGCTGACATTCCCCTGGGCAGCCAGCCCTGGACAGTTCTTGACTTCCTCGTGAAGCAGTTGTCCTGGCAGCTTCCTTTCTGTGACCGTCTTCTCCTCACTTCTACTCCCCTCACTTTGGGTTCCTCTTCGAACATGCCTGGGGTGCCTCTTCTATGAGGCTCTATGCTGTGCAGGGCTTGGGGCTCCTTCTCACAGGCTCACCCCTCAGTTGTTGGATGCCCCCATAGCGCCTTCCTCTGGGTCCCTCAGTTGGCCCAGAGGCCGTTTTGCTCCCATCACCTGTCTTCAGGTGTCCAGCTGCCAGGACTCAGGAGGACAAGAATTTGGACTAGAAAGGACCTCAGGGATCTTCTGGTCCAGGGACCCCAGTCTCCTCAACTTTCGAAGCCCTTCAAAACAATAGATGTCCAACATGTGAAATAGGTAAACTCCTTCCTGACTAAGTGGAGGAAGGGTGGGTCCCTTTACCACTCTGGGTCCCACATAGGGGTGTCTAAGAAACCCAAGGGCCCTGGGGTGTGGTGGGACAAGCCCCCGGCAGCCCAGTTCCCTGTTTTCAGAGGAGGAAGTCCAGCTCAGAGCCACAGGCAGGCCTGCTACACTGTTCACCTCAGCCGTGGAGCCTCCATCTGCGACTTAAACATCCCAGCTCCCAGGAAGGGTTGGGAAACTCTGCCCTGACTGTTAGGATGTCCCAACACATACGACTGGTGTTTTTGGAGGACTCGCCAAGTGCCAGGCACCCTGAAGCCCCACAGTTGCTGCCTCCTCTCCTCTAAGTCTCACAGAAGCAAAGATGTGGGAGCTCTAACAACCCCATGGAACACAGGGCCTTGTCCACAGTCTCATGGTGCAAGAATGCTCTGGATCAGGACCCTCCCTTGTACTGCCACTGAAGTAAAGCTGGTGACACTGCACGCCTTTACAGGGACAGAGGGAAGGCACCCGAAATGACAGTGACAGGGGAGCTATACAGCGTAGGCAGACATGGTCACAGGTCTCACAGGGCAAACATCTTTGAGGGGCTGGTTACAGTCTTTCCCCAGGAAGCATTTGGGGTACAGAGGCCATGAGATTTGGTCACAGGACGAGGGGAGGGTGAAGCCTGGAGTTACCGAGGGAGGGGGTCCTGGTGGTTGTGGGGCTCCAGACTCTGCTCTGGGGAGCTCCAGCCCCCCTTCCCTCTGGCTGGGGAAGCCTGCAGTGTGTGGGACCCATATGATGACGGCTGGGTGAGCACGAGGCACTGATCTCCAGGTGTGCTGCAGATCAAAGCACTGGAGAACTCCCTGGGCTACAGCTGTTGAGGGCAGAGCCAGTGGAGCCGGGTGCAGGCAGAGGGAGGAAAGGTGGGGGCAAAGAGCTTCTTCTAGGATGAAAGGGATGATTCCAGGGGTGGCAGGAGTGCAGCCCAAACTGGAGCTGGGCGCTAGTTCCTAGGGCCTGTGCATTGGTTTCCCCTTAACGGTGTGGCGCTGACGCCTGCTCCCTGGGCTACAGCTGTTGAGGGCAGAGCCAGTGGAGCCGGGTGCAGGCAGAGGGAGGAAAGGTGGGGGCAAAGAGCTTCTTCTAGGATGAAAGGGATGATTCCAGGGGTGGCAGGAGTGCAGCCCAAACTGGAGCTGGGCGCTAGTTCCTAGGGCCTGTGCATTGGTTTCCCCTTAACGGTGTGGTGCTGACACCCACGGCAGGAAGCAGGCATCTGATGTGTCTGTCCATCCTGATCCTACATACCTCACCCTTGGCCACCCTCACCCCTCAAAGCCACTTCTGCGTCCAGCAAAGGAGCAGGCGGGGGACACAGCCCTGTCGCCCAGTGGTGGCACTCAGCCCTGGGAGGGGAGGATAGAATTGTTTCCTGGTCTACCTCACACATTTTCTGTATTTAAAAAAACACAGCCGTGCCTTTGATTCGATTCCCTTTCCTGCTTGTCGCACTACTTCAAACCAGATGGCTCAGGAGATGAAGCTCTGGAGTCTCGGCGTCTATTTAACTGCCGCCAGGTCTGTGAGTGGGAGACAGCAGAACCAGAGGTATTTTGTTAAAAGCAGCCCACGTAGGGGAGAAGCTTAAGTTTTAATAGCAGTAATTAAATTATCTTCTTAATTATAAAGAGGAATGGCATTGTCGACATCCTTTATCTATCAGTTTTCAATTGCACAAAGTAAGCATTTAATCCTCTGCTTCCAGTGGCCGCCCCCCGCACTCCCGTCC